GTATATATTATATATTTTTGGTTTAAGCATTATGTAAGCTATTCCCAATGAGCAGTCTTAACCTGAACTTAGAGTTCAACAAAAAAGACATTTTTTCTTTCTTATTATATAATCTTGATTGATTTAACAAAGCTGATATTTTTCTTTTATGAGTAACAAGCCTAGTCATCATTATCTCATCTGTAAGATTTAGAAGAATTAATTATTTCATCTACGTAATTTAAGAATTCTAGTAAGACTTGGTGAATTTCTTGGATTCATTATATTTATTCAAATACCGTGGCATTTCATGAAGCATCAAATGAAAGTGAAAGAAGTAATAAAGCAAACAAAACACCTCTCCCCTTTTAAATGTCTGTGGTTTATATCTGCCATATTTATTTGGCATTGTTATTTATTACTTGGTACATGCATATATTTTTCTACCTAAATATATGATTAATCAGTTCATGAAGGAGAAATGCATTGCGTCCTTCACTCAATCAATGACTCAATCAATGTTATTTAATTACCGAAATGAATTAATTGACAGGTTTCTGTTTAGATGTTTCATTATTACTCCAACACATACATCATAAGTATTAGAGCCATCTTCAGTTCTTAAGTTTAGGTCCTGTATTAGCCAGCTCAGGTTGCCATAGCAAAATACTATAGACTAGGTGGCTTAAACAACAGACATTTATTTATTTTTCACAGTCTGAAGGCTGGAAGTCCCAGATCAAGATCCAGCAGGATTGGTTTCTCATGAGGACTCCTCTCCTGGTTTGTAGAAGGCTGCTTTGTCCTCAAGCATGGAGACTGTAAACAATTTATGACCATATCATAAAAGAGCAAGCTCTCTGGAGTCTCTTGTTGTAGGGACATTAATTCCATCAGGCCAGGGTACTAACTTTATGATTTCATTTAACCTTAATTGCTTCCTTAGAGGCCCTGTTTCCAAATACAACCACACCGGGGGTTAGGATTTCAACATATGAATTGGGGGGCAGTGGGGGAGGGGTCACAAACATTCAGTCTTATCTAGAAATTTATGAGATAGGATTGGACACCTGTTAGGGGATATTTGGGTTTTTGCTAGAGGCATATATAATTTCTGGGAGAGAGGAAAGAAGTAAATGTTAACTAAATGAATGAATAAAATAGGCAATGATCTGCTACTGTTTGAAACTCTGGTTAGAAAGCATTTTGAAAATACTGTTTGTTTTGTTTTTGTTTTACTTGGTGGAGGGAAGTATAGCTCTAAGTGGATTGACTGGCTGTTTGAACCCTGAGCCCTTCACAGGAAAAAATAAAACAAGAACAAAGAATGTTTTCTTCCCTATCATTCATTCATTCATTCATTCATTCATCTGTCTTTCAGCAGATATTTATTGAGTACCCACATGTCGTAGGTATTCACTACTGTTGGGCCTGGGCAATGAATAATATTGTTGAGGTCCTTGACCTCAGGGAGTTTACTTTCCAGAGGACTGGAAAGCTCATTCATATGGTTGTTAAGATCACAGATGCACCGAGCCTCAGCTTCATCAGCTGTATCTTTGGGATATTGATATTACCTTTCTTGGGGTTGTTGTGAAAATGAAGTGAAAAAAGGTACGCATATAGGCAAAAGACCCAAAATAGCCAACACAGCATTGAAGGAGAAGAAGAAAGTTGGAGGACTGACACGACTCAATTTCCAGACTTGCTCTAAAGCTACAGTATTCAAGATAGTGTGACACTGGTGAAAGAATAGACAAATCCGTGGAACAATATACGCAGCTCAGAAATATACTCACATAAATATAGTCAACTTCTTAGGGAAACAGGAGCATAGGAGAACCAGAGTAATGGCATTTTAAAATCAACTCCATCTTAAAATTAGCAGGGCACGTTCCTTGCCAGGCGTGACCCATGGTCATAAATTTTTTATAGTTGAAGAAACAGCCTAAAGATGCCTGCAAAGACAAACACCTACAATAGCAGAAGGTCCAGATGTCCCAACACCCATAACAATATATGCCTTCAAGGTAATTATAGCTATGCCTTGATGTACTGCACATGAAAACATTGAGGATAGTTTCCTTTAAATCCACAGAGTAATAAATTTTGTCACACTGTTGGCCTACCTGCATGTAGACCTAACTTAGCCTGGCTTTTTACATAGATAAGACCCCTATATAAGAAGAGTTTAAAACAAAGAGAGTGTGTTCATCTTCCTGCTTTCTGAGGTTGCCCGACTCTGTAACTAAGTAGCTTTCAATAAATGATCTCTTCCCACTGCACTCTGTGACTTGTCTTGAATTCCTTCCTGTGCGAGATCCAAGAGTCCTCTCTTGGGGTCTGGATCAAAACCCCTTTTCTGGCAACAAACTGATCTTTGGCAAGTGAGCAAAGTCAATTCAATGGAGAACAGCGTCTTCAGTAAATGGTCCTGGAGCAACTGGATATCCACATGCCAAAAAATTAATCTAGATGCAGACTGTACGCCCTTCACAAAAATTAACTCAAAATGGATCACCTACCTAAATATAAAATGCAGTATTATGAAACTCCTGGCCAGGCACCATGGCTCATGCCTGTAATCCCAGCACTTGGGGAGGCTGAGGCAGGCGGATCACAAGGTCAAGAGATCGAGACCATCCTGGTCAACATGGTGAAAACCCATCTCTACTAAAAATACAAAAATTAGCTGGGCGTGGTGGTGCGTGCCTATAGTCCCAGCTACTTGGGAGGCTGAAGCAGGAGAATCACTTGAATCCAGGAGGCAGAGGCTGCAGTGAGCTGAGATGGGGCCACTGCACTCCAGCCTGGTGACAGAGCAAGACTCTGTCTCAAAACAAAAAATAAAAAATAGAGAAACTCCTAGTAGATAACAAGAGAGAATCTAGGTGACCTTGGGTTTGGTGATGACTTTGAATATACAGTACCAAGGCATGATCCATGAAAGAAAGAATTGATAAGCTGGACTTCATTAAAGTTAAAAATTACTGCTCTATGAAAGATACTGTCAAGGGAATGAAAGGATAAGCCACAAATTGGGAGAAAATATTTGCAAAAGACTTATTTGATAAAGGACTGTTATCCAAAGTGTACAAAGAACTCTGAAAACTCAGCAATAACAACCACCTGATTTTACTTTTTAAAAAATTTTTATTTATTTATTTATTTACTGATTTTTTTGAGATGAAGTCTTGCTCTTTTGCCCAGGCTGGAGTGCAGTGGCCTGATCTCGGCTCATTGCAGTCTCCACCTCATGAGTTCAGATGATTCTCTTCCTGAGTAGCTGGGACTACAGGTGTGTGCCACCATGCCTGGCTAATTTTTGTATTTTTAGTAGAGACGAGGTTTCAGCATGTTCACCATGCTGGACAGGCCGGTCTCAAACTCCTGACCTCAACTGATCCACCTGTCTCGGCCTCCCAAAGTGCTGGGATTACAGGTGTGAGCCACCGTGTCCAGTCAACAACCTGATTTTAAAAATGGGCCAAAGACTTTAACAGACACCTCACCAAAGAAGATACACAGATGGCAAATAAACATATGAAAATATGTTCCACATCATATGTAATCAGGTGAATGCAAGTTAAAGCAACAATGAGATACCCTACACACCTATTAGGAAGGCTAAAATCTAGAAAACTGACAACACCAAATGCTGGGAAGGATGTAGATCAGGGAAGTCTCTCATTCATTGCTGGTGGGAATGCAAAATAGTACAGCCACTTTGGAAGACAGGTGGTTTCTTACAAAATTAAACATATTCTTACCATAACATTCTCCCCTTGTACTCCTTGGTATTTATCCAAAGGAATTGAAAACTTATGTCCATATAAAAACCTGAACATTGGGCCTGGTGCGGTAACTCACGCCTGTAGTGCTAGCACTTCGGGAGGCCTAGGCGGGTGGATTACCTGAGGTCAGGAATTTGAGACCAGCCTGGCCAACATGGCAAAACCCTGTCTCTACTAAAAATACAAAAATCAGCCAGGTATGGTGGTGCACGCCTGTAATCCCAGCTACTTGGGAGGCAGAGGAAGGAGAATTGCTTGAACTCTGGAGGTGGAGGTTGCAGTGAGCCAAGATCGTGCCACTGCATTCCAGCCTGGGCAACAGGAGCAAGACTCCATCTCAAAAAACAAAACAAAACAAAACACAAAAACCCCTGCACATCAGTATTTCTGGCAGCCTTATTCATAATTGCCAAAAATTGCCAAAACTTGTAAGCAACCAAGATGTCATTCAGCATGTGAGTGGATAAACTGTAATGCATCCAGACAATGGAATATTATTCAGTGCTAAAAAGAAATGAGCTATCAAGCCATGAGAAGACATGGAGGAAACTTAGATGCATATTGCTAAGTGAAAGAAGCCAATCTGAAAAGGTTTCATACTGTATGATTCCAACTGTATGACATTTTGGAAAAGGCAAAACTATGGAGACAGTAAAAATATCAGTGGTTAACAGAGATTGAGCGGGAAAGGAGGGATGAATAAGTGGAGCACAGAGGATTTTTAGGATAGTGAATCTACTCTGTGATATTTTCACAGTGAATAGACTTTATATACATTTGTCCAAACCCATGGAATGGATGACACCAACAGTGAACCCTAAACTATGGACTTTGGGTGATAATGATGTATCAATGTAGGTTCATCATAACGAAGGTACCATTCTAGTGGAGTTGTTGATAATGGGGGAGGGCCGTGCATGTTTGGGGGCACAGGGTATATATATGGGAAATCTCAGTACCTTCTGCTCAATTCTGTTGTGAACTTAAAATTGCTCTATGAAGTAAAGTATCTAAAAAAAAAAACACATGTAAAGAGCTGCAATCAATGCTTGGTACATAGGAAGCAATAATTTTAACTGTAATTACATTTATTATTAATAATTGGACATTAACAATAAGGCACATTGGAAAGGCTTAGCACAAGGTAAGTTTTAAAGGATTGCTTGCGAATTAATTGAGGTTTCCTGCAGACTTTGACAATGTCGTTTTATTTTATGATTTTTACAGTGCCACTTCTTTGTTTAATATCTGGACTAAATACGCCCCCAGGCTGCCAGCAGACTATTACAACGAAAAGCTTCTGAAGGTTGGAGATAGCCTTTGTCAAATGAAAGTAAGTGCCTCTGGAGGAAAGAGAGCCAAAAAGAAATTCATTTGGCTAATTATTATTACAGTATTTAGTCTGATACCCTTCCTATTTTACATGTTTTGATTTTTCTCTTAGAAAAAAATAAATGAGTACATAAAAATTTTAATAAGGCACAATAACTAAAAAAGTGTTTGCTTTTTAATTTTGTAGTTGAGATTTCCCAGAGGTGAGACATTCCTGGACAGCCAGGCAGCTGGCTGTGGATGGGCAGGAGCGTGGCCGCGTTCACAGAGGGTGTGGTAGGCGCACAACAGGAAATGCTGAATCATCGTGTTCCTACCTCATACAAAGGAGCCCAGACACCACTTCCTGTTGTTTTTCATATGGCTGGCCTTGCCCAGTGGTCAACCTTCAGGGCTCTTGGCCTTGCAGCTCTGTTGCCTGCTTCAGTGCCCTGTTTATTAAACTCTTTCTTAATGTTTTGCTATATGTAATTATAACAGTCATTCCATACATACCCTGTTTCTTGCTCAGTATTGTATTCCAGACTGAGTTTGTGTCCTACTTTTAGTTTCACCTGAATGTCTAGAGCTTGGAATGCTGTGGACTTGTGGACTTGGTTTGCTGAGACCACAGCATGGCTGGGTTTTCCATTAATGATCATGTGAGTTTCTCCCTTAAACTCTGGCCTAGATCCAAATTATTCTAAGTTATGTGAACATCAGACAATGGGATTTTAGGCCAGCTGTGGGCAGTGTTCAGTGTTTTCTCAATCTTCAGTTTCTCAACTTCATTTTTCCCCTCTGTTTCTATTTTCTGGACTTTAATCTTCTTGGTCTGGGAGACAAATTTACCAAATAGAGGATATGAGTGGTGGAACTTCATAATGATGAACTAAGATCTGTTTTCTTCTGCCAAAACTAGAGAATAACCATAGTTCCACATAAATGAACCATGGGTCTTAGAAACTTGAAAAACAGGGCTTGGTAAGCTACAGAAAAGAAACCCAGGTGAGATTCAACTTGTAAGCTTTATTCATGTAAGTGGGATAAGAGTTTTGACAAGAATTAGAAGACAGCCCCCTCTCCATCCTTATACTTTTCAGTGTAAGAAGCTGGTAATACAATTAAAAAGCACAGTGTAGGGTTGTTTGAGAAATATCTGTGTGGGTGGAATGGATATTGCTGGAGGGAAGGGAGGTGTATGTTAGAAGCTGATAAAGCTAGTTAAAGATGGCTAGTAGCTAAGGATTCAGAATGTTTTAGATAGAAAGGCCTAGATAGTCTATTTTAATATTTAATTAAAAGAACAAAGAAAAAGTTTTGTCTACTTTTCACTGAAGGAAATGTTGGCCAGGGTGGGCATGGTGGCTCACACCTGTAATCCCAGAACTTTGGTAGGCTGAGGAGGGCAGATTGCTTGCTTGAGCCCAGGAGTTTGAGACCAACCTGGGCAACATGGCAAAACACTGTCTCTTAAAAAAAAAAAGGTATTTATAATTCTGAAAATGAACTTGTTACTTTGGTTTCTAGGCTCTATTTTTATTTTAGTTGTAGTAAAGATCATCTTGTGGAATATTTGTTTTAAACCTAGATTTGAATTTATTATATGACTCAAGTTAGAGCAGAAAAGATTCAGGATTAATTAGTGAGCAAAAAACAAATCTATAATAGAAATTTAAACAAAACAGTGTTTGACTGAAGATGCCTCCCAAGGGGCTAGGTAACTGGACAGGCAGTTCACACTTTGGGCAGTTGCTTTTCCTGGGGATGAAGTTGCCGGGGAGGGAGCTGAGGAAGGGTTGCAAGTGACTCATTTTGAAAGGACTGCTTACATCCTCTGCCCTGAAACCCTCCAGGTAACTGAGCCCTGTGGGTTACAGAAATGGGGCATCTGATTCTGTTATGGGAACACAAGCATGACTTTGAATGAATAAAAATCCCACTGCTCAAATGCTTTTTATTTGTCCTGATGCAGCTTCAAAGTCTGTTGACAGATGAGAGAGAGGCAGGTAGCTCACCTCACTCTGCATTTGTTTCTTTTAGCTTCTCTTCTTTGGTTCCCTCTTTCTTCCTCTCTTCCCTCCTCTCTCCCTCCCTCTCCCTCCCTCTCCCTCCCTCTCCCTTTCCTTCCTCCCTCTCTGTCTCCCTCCCTTCCTTTCTCTTTTTCTTTCTCCTTCCTTCCTTCTTTCTTTCCTTCCTTTTTCTTCTTCTTCCTTCTTCTCTCTTTCCTTCTTTCTTTTTCTTTCTCTCTCTCTTCTCTCTTTTTCTTTCTCTCCTTCCCTTTATTTTTTCCCTCCTCCTTCCCTCCCTCTCTCTTTCTTCCTTTCCTTTCTTTTCCTTCCTTTCTTTCTCTCTCTTTCTTTCCCTTCCTTTCTTCCCCCTTCCTTTCCTTTCCCCTTCTCTTCCCTTTTCTTTTCCTTTCCTATCCCTTCCCCTTCCTTCCCTTTCCTTCCTTCCCTTCCTCCCTCCCTCCCTCCCTCCCTTCCTTCCTTCCTTCCTTCCTTCCTTCCTTCCTTCCTTCCTTCCTTCCTTCCTTCCTTCCTTCCTTCCTTCCTTCCTTCCTTCCTATCTCTCACTCACTCTTCCTTTATTTTCTTTTTCAAGCCTATGAGGTATCAGAGAAGCAAGACTACTCCTCCACCTCTTTGGGTATGTGGGTTACCATGATCTGATGATGCTGAATTTTGGAACCTGGATTTTGAGTATATGTAGGTATTACCACACACAGTGCCATAGTAAATATTCTCATCCTTGTAGTCATGATGGTCCCATCTCACATAGGCTCGTTGTGAGGAGAATTAGATGAAATAATACACATATATTGTATACTGCAGTGTCTGTCATATACTATGTTTTTGGAAAATGGAGCCAGTAGTAATGGTATAATTGTAATAATTAACATTGATACTATTAGGAATAATATGAATATTACCTAACAATGATAAGCTAAATGATATTTTGGAATTTTAATCAAGTCCTCTTTTTATTTCAGGAATACAAACTGGCCCTTTTACAATGCTATGGAAGATATCTTCAGCAGTTCAATACCAATTTTGATGAGAATAAAGTGGATGTAACTCAATTCAAGGCTGCCTTTTTCCCAAAAGGCTTTAGAGATAAAACTGCTGGACTTACAGTAAGATGAAAGAGCAGCTAAAATAGCTACAATTTATGATTAGCTATGCAATATATCTTTTAGTTGACAGCTTCTAAATGTCTTTTGTTGGCTTAGCATAGCATCTAGCTGTGTGCTATAAGTTGCTTAATAAATACTTTCAGTGCTGGATAAGAAAGTGAACTTACCAAGCTTTGTAAGGATGTTTGGAGATTAAGTCACTGCAGTCACTCATTCATGTACAGTTGTTATTTAATAACTAATATTTGTAGAGTGCTTTTAGTTTATAAAGTGCTTTGGAAAACAAATTTGATAAAGTAATTTTATGAGTACATACTATTATCCCTATTTTACAGAAGAGAAAAATAAAGCTTATCACATAGTATAAAAAGTGGCTCTTGAGATTAAACATAAATCTATTGATATAAAAATTTATACTTTATTTCTAGTATACCAGTATTTTGTTAATTACTACCATTGATTCATGGGTTGAACAGTTTTCATGTGCTAAATACTCTTCTAAATATATTGTATGAATTATCATCTTGCAGCCTCATTAAAGTCCTAAGAGGAGACTCTTTTACAGATTAGGAAATGGAAGTTTATTAGCCTGCTTAAAACAATGGGCAGGGTTGGTGTTTGAACCCTGATCAGTCTGACTCTAAATCTGTGTTACTTCAAACTTGCGGACTATTCAAGGCCTTGGAAACAGTATGTGGTTAATAAGCAGAAACTCTCAAGGCATGTTTAGGGGACAATTGAACAGTTCAATTTGGCTGTACCGTAGGTACACGAATGAGAATACTGGTTAATGTAAGTTGGCACCCTATTAGGGAAAAGGTCTCTCCTACTCCCCTTTTTATAGCCTTGACCCCCATACCTTCTGCTTTTTGCTTTCCACACTTTGCCGGAATTAATGTCCTTCCTTCCCTCCCTCCCTCCCTCCTTCCTTCCCT